CTTTTATCAAAGAACAAAAGTGGCAGAAATGTCAAGTGGCTTTATGCAGCTGGGAAAATCCTTTCTGGTCTCAGCTTTCCAGAAGCTGCTTGCTGATCATAGAGTACCTCAGTTACCAATCTGATTATAGAGTGGCAGAGGTTAGAAGTTTAACCATAACACAGTATTATCTTTTAAATGTTTGGATGCTGCTCTGGCCAGAGGGAAGTACAGAAAGTTGAAAACAGCCAGTTACAGATGCAGTGGGTATATGAATGGGTTTATTTAAGTTTCTGAAATGTCTGAGAAACACTGGTACACAATAATAGCTGAAATATAACATATTGGGGAGACTAAGAATATACTCTCTTACTTTTCGAGATCCAAAACACTTGAAGGGATGAAGTTTGCCCATGCCTGCTCTATTAGGATCTCAGTCACTGAATCCAGCGTCATTCACCATCTGTATAATGACATAACCAAAAAAACCCACTTGGTTCACATATTTGTCAGAAGATTGCCTCCAGTGTTTACTGTTCCAAAACAAAGCAACATGTAACATTCAAGATTAAACAAACCAGATGATTGCAAAAGAGCATAACAGAGATGAATCACGTCTTTAAAGGTCTGCTTTTAAAGCACCATCCACTACGCCCCTATGATCATTTTAAAACTATCTTTGTAAAGTAGACCTGCTGATAGTTTGCCATTTATTTAAGCCTGAAAAAGAAAACCATCTAAGCAGACGTATCAAAGAGTGGCAGATTCTAAAAATTTGCAATGAGCATTTGTTTTCTGTACTGGCAAAGGCTGCCTGATGAAAGTGCCCATGTGTTTCTCTATCATTAATTTTAATTAGTCGAATGAATAGAGAGGCCAAAAGCTCCCTGAGTGTAAAGCCATTAGCTTCAAGTGAGAAACATCAGACAGAGGGTGCTTCTAGACAGACCGGAAATGTGTGCCAAAGCGGGTTGCTTGCATTTCTGTCTACACAAGCCCCCCAAAACCTGGGCTTTCCCAGGTTGTTTGGCTACAATTACTATCAGGCTGGCATGCAGCCACTCCAAAGCCCACCAAAGCAAGCCTTTAAAGTAAAAAAAAAAAACCCTTACTCAGCGGCCATTAAAGTTCTCCTTGCATTCTCCTGGTGTGAGGAAATGACACACCAGGAGATCGGGGTGGGGGGGGGCACAAGGGAAAAAAACCCTCCTCACCCCCATCTCCTTCTCCTGACGCGTCATTTCCTTGTGCCAGGAGAATGCAAGAAGGACCTTTATGACAACCAGGTATGGGTTTTTTTTAATCTTTTGAAGGCTAGGGGAGGAATTGGGAGACCAAAGGTTTGGGATGGCAAATGGAAACTCACCCCCAAGTAGTCCTCAGACTACCTAGGCATGAGTCCCCACAGATCCAGGAAGGCCTGGATCTAATGGGTATTTAATTGATTTAGAATAACCAAGGTTTAATTAATTCATTTTTACCAGGGGTGTCAATTTATTCGGTGAAATTAACTAGTAAAATACTAGTGCTGTTGGCAACTACTCATAGTTATGCAAAGTCTTGATTCTCCTCATAAGAGCTTTCACTCTGTGGTTCTATTTATGGCAAATGAATGAAAATGATCAGAAAAATGAGAGACTTAAAATAATTGATTGAAAAATTGTATCTGGAGCACTGAATATACTTGAATGAAATGTAATTCTCCTTTGGCATATATTAAAAATTAACAAAATAAGGCAAACCAGTAATACCCAGACTACCAAGGTGTTATATCTGAAAATATCTACATTTTCTTTTCCTATTTTCCATTAATTTTAGGACTCCATGTGTGATTTCAGATCTACCAGGTAGTTTACAGTGTTCTGACATGTTGGAAAATCTCAGTAATCAAAATACTAGCTGTCTTTACAGTGACACAGATGTATTGAAAGGAATAAATGAATCTCTCTATTGGTATTTGTGCTTGATTATAGCCATTATTCCAGACTCTCTTATTTTTTTTTACTGTCAAAGGGAAATCCACTCAAGCTATACATTTAAATGTGTATTTTGCCTCCAAATACATATTTTCAGGTACAGACAGTCCCTAAGTTACAAACTTTAGACTTACAAATCATTCATAGTTAAAAACGGGGATGAGACAATAAGAAGTGAGAGAATTTTACCTCTAGAAAGGGAAATTTACTCCTGAAAAAGTCATTATGGGGAAGGGTGTCTCAAATGAAGCTTTATCACCAATCCTTGTTTTCACAACAAGCCAATTTTTGTTTCAAAATCCAATTGTTATGGGGATAGAAAGTGAGATGAAATCTTCTGAATAGGGCCAGAGACAGCAAAAAAAAGGTTATTAACACTTTCCTATGCTATCCAAAGATGATAGATAGATAGATAGATAGATAGATAGATAGATAGATAGATAGATAGATAGATAGATAGGGCTGGAGTTACTTACAAACAAATTCAGTTTAAGAACAAACGTATAAAACCTTATACAAGTACAAATCTTACAAATCTTATTTGTTACTTGGGGGGTACTTGTATTTGTTTTTATGTGTATCTTATTGTACAGTTGGTTGTTGTGAGTTTTCCAGGCTGTATGGCCATGTTCCAGAAGCATTCTCTCCTGACATTTCACCTGCATCTATGGCAGGCATCCGCAGAGGAACATGGCCATACAGCCTGGAAAACTCACAACAACCCAGGGATTCCAGCCATGAAAGCCTTCGAGAATACATTATCATAAAAGGTTTATGATAATTATCTTACCAATTGCTGTTGAAATGCAATTTCAACAAATGACATGGAACTCTGTTATATAGCAAAGTTCACCCATACAGGGTGGCACACATTTTAGTTATATTCTGTTTGGATTGCTGTGATGAGCTGTTTTAAGAAAGGGCCCAGAAACCTTTCCTGGAGCAAAGAACTGCAGACAAATCATTGAGTTTGGCCTTGTACAAGGAGCACAAAATTCCCCTGTTGCAACAGCTCCATTGACTACTGGTCCATTTCCCAACAGAATTCAAAGGGCAAGTTGTAAAGCTCTGTATGTTGGGTTCATGTTATTCAAAGAATTGTATATTTTATATGAGCCTATCCAAGAACTAAGGTCATCAGTCCTATTCTCAGTCCCACCCACTCCCGTGGCAATGCAGAAAAGGACCTTTGCCTTGGCCGCTCCCAGGCTTTAGAAGTCCCACCCTAAGGATAATTCTCCCTATGTGAGTCTTGCATTTAAATAGAAAATTTCTGTATTCTGACAGGCTTTAATGAATTGACTGCAAGGTCTTGTAATAGTGTGCTGTTTTATTGAGTTATATCTATTAGCAGATTTTATACCTTCAGTTAATATGTTACTATATCTTTTATTTCTCTAAACATTTTTTTCAGTCAGCCCTCTACATTTGCTAGAGTTAGGAGCACAGGACCTCCACAAAAGTGGAAAAACTGCAGATAAAAATCTGTTCCTTTAAAAAAATGAGAGAACACTTCTCTAGTAATCTTTGGGTCTTCCAGCATGACTCTATAGCAGGGATGTCAAACTCATTTTCACCAAGGGCCACATCAGCCTTATGATTGCCTTCAAATGGCCATTTGTAATTGTAAAACTGTATAAATGTAACTCTGTTTTCCTGACATTGAAAGCCTTGTGGGACCCATAAAATGATGTGGTAGGGCAAATTTGGCCCGTGGGCCTTGTGTTTGACATGTGTGTTCTATAGTCTATTTTCACTAGATGATGACCATAGAATTGCACTGGTCCTACAGATTCTCCGAGAGAACATTTTAATCAAATCTGCAAGTAATCAAATACACATATGTCACACTCACAAATGTGGAGGGCAAACTGGACATTATTGTATGTGATTTTTTTGTTAATCTCAAAAATGTTAGAATTGATATGTGAATAGTATCAATTCATTCAAAATGTGCCTAAAATGCCTTTAAAACTATATGCGAATAATTCACCCCTGCAGAAGCAAATAATTATAGGTAACTATATTATTGGTAACTCATTACTTCCTGGGTTTGTTCTTTTTTTATGTAGAGCTTGTTCTCATCTGAAGTTGAATCTGCTAGTTCACCCTGTATTTAATTTGCAATCTATCATTTACTATCTGAGTGTGCACAGTGAAGCCTATTGCTACAATGAGAATCCAATACTTCAATCTAAGTTCCATTTTCCATTGACCTTTTCCCCTTTTCCCCTTGCATGTCACTCTTTACAGGCATCACCACAGTATTAACCATGACAACTCTCAGCACCATTGCCAGAAATTCCTTACCACGTGTTTCCTACGTCACTGCCATGGACCTGTTTGTGACCGTGTGCTTCTTGTTTGTTTTTGCTGCTCTAATGGAGTATGCAACACTCAACTACTACTCAAGTTGCAGAAAGCCACACTGTACAAAGAAGAAAAAGTCGGTAAGATGAGATTAAATTTAATGCAGGAAACAGGGTCTTCTCTTTACCAGGCATTTGATATAAATCAGTGTTTCAGCACATAGTATTATACAGTGGGAGACGTCTCACATCAATGAAGGAATATAAGAGGGGTGTGAGTGTAGGACATGTACAGGATATAAGGACATAACAGGGTATCCAATTTGCAGAGAAGTGCTGTTCTGTCTTAAACCAGGAATTTAGTACTGTTTTGGGCACAGGCTCAGAAACTAAGAAGCCAAAACTGACAGAGAGAAGACTCCAGGCCTAAGCATTCCTAGAGAACATGAGACCACCCCCACCCCCCTCTGCAAGTCAGAAAGCTTGGAATCGTTGAATATGAGATTTCTGTACCAGATATTACCTGTCATTCCAGATGAACATTGGCAGCTTGTGGATTTAGTTCCAGCACTGAGAGAGCATACCTTCTTCTGAGATCTTCACAGTCCTAAAACCAGTGTACCATATCTATCTCCTCAAGGTTTTTCATTCTGTAGGAAGAGCTAGAGCCTGGGAGAAGTAGTCAAAAAATATAAAAGACCCAAGTTGTTAGATATTGTATTCACTTGACATTCTCCAATCTGCTCTACCAACTGGTCTGTAAAGCTGACTCTAGTGGCTTAAGTTTACTTTTGTTTTACACATGGCATTGTAAAGTACCATACAGAAATATGAAGATATGTTGATAGCTGTGCCCAGGGAAGGAAAATGTTGAAAGTCGGTGAAACCATGATTAGTGTTTCAGTTTTAGTAACCTTGAATCAATATCCACCTAAGGTTTCATCTCTGCTATGGCTTTACTTTCATGTCAAGACACAAGAAAACATGTTTAGATATTTCCAAATGCCATGTTCTTTTTTATTCCAATCATACATGCAAACCTCCTTCATCCAAAGAACACCAGAACGTGCAATCTTGACGCCTCTTCACAGAGGCAAGGGACACCTGTAGATCCTCTTCCCTCCAGGAAGGAGGGGATGTGTTTAGGGTCCTGTTTATATTGCCTTATAATGCAGTTTGAAACTGCTTATATGGCATTGTAGAAGGGGCCTGTAAGGATTTATAGGCTGCTTACCTTCATTCCCACATAGAAACCAGCTGGTGGGGTAAACAGAAGAAAATGTTCTTCATTTAATGTGTCTGGGATATTTTGTCTTGCTTTGCTTTGGAATGGATGCTTATTAATATTCGTGACATTCTGTGATAGAAAAAAAATGGGTTTTGGTTTGCAACAAAAATTCTTTTATTTTAAGCCTGCACACTGTAAATGTTGTCTCTGGTGTGTATACCAGTCAGATAGTTTAGAATCCCATTGGCACACACATTGCAGGATGTACTTTTAGTATATGGAGATACACATAACATCATTGGATGTAGGGATTTTTCACCAAATATAAATGTTCCCTTTTCTTTTCTTTTTTCAGTGATTATCACAGTAGTACAATTTTTGCATATCCCTTCTTTAGTTTTGTATTGGTATCTTTTAAAAAAACAAGTAATTAAGTGTGTTGTTTTGAAGTTACAGGGGAATAGTTAATACATGAAACACTTATTTCACCTTCAGATAAGACTCATAGAAACTGGTGGATGCAATGTTCAGTAAACCCATTTCACATTTTAGCCTGAACTTTACAGAAGGTGTGAAGGTGCTGAAGATATTTGCTGATAGAGTTCAACAACTTGGACAACTCCATTAAAATTCAGACCAAAACTCAGATGGGATTAACTGCCCTTTAGCACTCCATGTATCTGTACACACATATATTTTAGACTGCGTGTCTTTGGCAGGACCCATTGTTTTTGGCTGCTTTACTGAAAGCGCCATACTGTAAAGCACCACATATATTTAATGGTGTTATATAAATAAACAACAGTAATAATAACACAATTATCACTGAGTAAGATAGCATTACATAAAAATTTCAAGAACGGCTAAGCAGTACATACTTTCTGCTGCAATGTATGTTTTATATTTCCCTTGTGGTGCTTTAAAATTGGAATGGAATCATAGGCATTATACCATAAAATATATGACAAAGTCTGGGTAAGCACATTTTAGGGATGACATTTTTCACTAATTGTCTTCTCAAAGGAAACAATTATTACTTTCAGCAATTTCCTTCTTGCTGTGAGAAGTGTTTCCAAAACAACAGTTTTGGAAGCCTTTTCACAATTCAGGGCTCATTTTGTACAAAATTCATTTGTGGGTTTGTTTGTTTTTTAGTACACAGAACAGAATTCTGTGTCCAGATAATAATATTAAAGAAAATATAACAATATCACAAATCTATTGCTATATATTCAGAAGACTCTGAATTTAATTTAATTTACTCCCAGGTAAATGTATTTAAAGATGAAAGGTAGGAGTTCAGGAATTAAGAATTCAATTTTACTTACTTGAGAGCAGACATGTCTAGTATTTAACTTTTAAGCTTTTTATGCTATTTCTTAATTACTTAATTATATTCTTCATTCCAAGCATTGTAAATCTGTATAAAATAAAATGTGTATTCTTATTTATTTATGTTTAATGTTTTCTCTCTATTTGAGCTACCTGATGTCAGTTTTGGTCACATGATGGTGAGTATAACTTTTCAGTTGTTTTAAAAAATGCTTATTCTGCAATTCTATACAAATCCAAATGATTGATCAAAGAGTCACCAGACGTAGTGTGCTATCTAAATGGCACATACATTCATATACATTCACCATATATCCAAAGATATATACATTTGGAAGCTGACACCTGTAGAGTACACATTCATGATATATGATGAATATTTGATTTTCCAAGTCTGGATTATGATTCAGCAACATTCATAGCATCCAGGACCCAGCCATGTGGACCATGAGTTATGTTTCATAATGTTTCTGTGTCTACAACTATTTTTCTAATCCAATCCAGCTATGGATGCCATATTCACATCATACATCTCAAAGAAGTGTTATCCACCTTACAACACCAGTATTTATTTAAATCAGCTAATGTCTTCCTTAGTAGTGTTCAGTATACCTGAAATATCTATTTTTCCTAAACCAAATGTCATTTTTAATCAAAATACATTTTAGAAAGTGATGTATGGACAATTCTCCATGAGTTGATTTATACAGGTCAATCTTACAAAACAGATCCAATGTATAAGGCACAAATGACTTTTTGCACAGCCATCATAGATATTAAGCAGCATAACCAAAAAATAGGATGATTTCAAAAATGTCCAAGGAGATATATTTAACTGCTTGGATCCCACTCTGGGAGAAAAGTAGCATAGAAATTAAATATATAGTAAATGCACAAATACACACACCCCAGCTATTTGTGTGTGTGTGTGTGTGTGTGTGTGTGTGTAAAGATGTAAAATTAAGTCTGGAAAATTAACTTTTCCTTTGGGAAATGAAAGTTGCACCTTAAGTGGAAAACGGGGGACATTTAATCAATTTTCTGAAAATAGCTTTAAGGGATACTTATTAAGATAAAGGGAATGCAACATCAATAGTAAAAAAACAATAATCTTAAATGTGTTCATTCAGCACACATGCTTAACTGAGTGGTACCCTATCCAAACCAAGAGATATTTCGGTCAACACTGCAAGTTCAGCCTAATTATTTGAGTAATAGCCTGGAGAACCAAAATACCTAAATAACTAATAGGTTGCCACTAATCAATTAATAGCATGTTAAAAAAAGATTCAGATCTAGAGAAAATAACCATTGTTCATCAACATGCAGACTTAACTTTGAGTCCCCCTAAGCCGCTTTGAGTCCCCCTAGGGGTGAGAAAAGTGGTATATAAATACTGAAAATAATTATATTCATCTTTTTCATGTGTAATTTTGCCTAACTACACATGCTAAATGCTGCATGCATCGATCAAATATCAGAGGAAGGCGGGGTCACCCCATCATGTGGTCCTCTGTAGAATGGGAAAAGGAAGTCTTTCTTGATGTAGAAACCCATGTCAAAATTTCAGTGGAAAAGCTTAATCTTTCAAGTTCCGTGTTGGTCAAAGCTGAGATGATTGCACTCTATTTACAAAGCAGGATACAGATTTGACTAATGGTTTTAAGTAACACAAGAGTAGATTTTGATTTAACATTAGAAAGACCTTCTTAACAGTGATAGTGGTTTGGAAATGGAACCAATTGCTTAGAAAAATTGTGAGGTCTCCCTCTCTGGATGTTGTTAAAAAGAGACTGGACACTTAGTTACCTGTTGGGAACACTCTAATTGGAGATCCAACACTGAGCAGAGACTTGGACCCAATGACCCTTCCAACTCCGTGATTTTTAGATATTTAGACTTAGATTGGCAACTAAAGGACGTAGGTTAGCAAACAAGAGCTTGCACATATTAAATAATCTCTTTGGATATTAGGTTCCTTTTCTATACAATGCTTCATCAGTAAGAAACCAATAGTCCTTCCATGAGCATTTATGGAATGGAATTTCCAAATCCATGGCAATATAACTTCTACAAAGTTCAAGTAAATGCTGGTGCATCCTTGCCAAAACATGACTGTCCCAGGTCCATATCACCATAGATTGCAAATCTGATTGCTCAAATAATGAGTACATATCTGATTCACTTTCTCTTACATTTAAGAGAAAGTGAATCAGTGGTGCAGTGGGTTAAACCCTGATCCAGCAGGACCGAAGACAGGTTCGAATCCAGGGAGAGTGCGGATGAGCTCCCTCTATTAGCTCCAGCTCCCCATGCGGGGACATGAGAGAAGTCTCCCAAAAGGATGTAAAACCATCAAAAACATCCAGGCATTCCCTGGGCAACATCCTTGCCAATGGCCAATTCGCTCACACCAGAAGCGACCTTCAGTTTCTGAAATCACTCCTGACACAACAATAAATAAATAAATTTTGAGCAATTCTCATCAAAAATTGACTGAATTTAAATCCTTCCCCATACTTGAAAAAGGTCATTTGCTCAGAGAGAAATATATATCCCAAACAAGGTTTTTGTCATAGTTGGAAGGCTACAATTCGCAAATACAAAACAACTCAGAAGCTAATGAAAGCCGTTTCATTGTGATGCATGAGCTTTCTTTTTCCAATTTCTAACAGACACATGGTCTAAAATGAAAAAGTCTCAAGAAATCTGCATGTCATGATTCTCTGTCATGTTTAGGGCAGCCCAAAGTGCTTGCATGCCATCATTCAAAGATCACCAACATGCAGTCTTTTTTTGTCTCTCCTTTTTCAACAGAATTATTCTGTACTAGAGATGAGACCACCTCCTACAGTCATCGCATTGAATAATGCCATGTACTGGCAAGAATTTGAAGACAATTGTATTTATGAATGTCTGGATGGGAAGGACTGCCAGAGCTTTTTCTGTTGTTATGAAGAATGCAAATCAGGCTCATGGAGGAAAGGACGGGTACACATAGACATCTTAGAACTAGACTCTTATTCAAGAGTCTTTTTTCCAACATCATTTCTTTTGTTTAACTTGGTATACTGGGTTGGATACCTCTATCTCTAAAGGAAAATGGAGGAAACTGTGTTTTCACACTTCTTCAAGGACAGTGAACAAACTGACTTTCAGGACACAGCCAGTTTCATCGTAAGTCTGAAGATCACTTTACCTTTCCTCATGAACAAAACAGATTTTATTTACACCTTTGGTTGAAAAAGACAGACATTTTCATTTCAAGTTTGAAATATTTACGAAGTACACACCAGACAGTATCATGTAACTTGTGTTTAACTATTCCTACATGATGGGGAATTTGCTCTTTTCTCTGGGTTACAGATTATTATGTAGCATTCAGACAAAGAAACTAAGTACAAGCATTCCGTTGAGGTTTTTCATTCTTCTATTTGCTTCACTCTTTCAATACATTCTGAGAACAAATGCTTGTTGGTGCAGGTTTTCCATGATGTTTAGCTGAAATCACCTATTTTTTCCTTAAGATGTGTTTGACTCCAGTGGAAAAAACCACTTGAACTTCACTTCATGGGTTTCATTACTTTTGTCTTAGGTCTTAATCTGAAATTAAGAGTGTGTTTTAATCTTCTTGTCACAAAGATAGAGCTGTTAGTCAAATAATTTTTCATTAATACAAGGTATAACATTCATCTAACTGATCAAATACTGCAGGAAATGAATCTACTTTGAGAAAAATACACTTGCAACTTGACAAGACTTAGCTTGTTTACAGTAGTGTAGCAGATAGTAGTTGATAAGACATAAGGTGCACTATTTAATAGCACGGGGAAAATAGCATTAATTGCAGACTGAAAGTTTTCTTCCATACTTTATAGTTGTTGAGTTTGTTGAGAGTTTTACGTGATATTTTCACAGTGGAAAAAACTATAGATAATATAATGCATTCTGCTTGTTTTGCTCATGCAGAGTACAACTGATGGATCTTTAGTCTTAGTTCTGCATGGGCTAAAATGAAGGTACTAGTTTTTATCTGCATAAGGCACCCAATTCATTTCTCATTAGAGGGTCCTAATCCGTATGTGCATTCTTTTGATTTCAGTTCTTCCATTTAAGTGAATGGGTAAGTACTTGTTGGTGAAAAATTCCCTAAAGTACCTGCACTGGTAAACAACCTCTAGGCTGGCACATTAGAGGATGTTACTATTAACAAATCAATAAGAGCCTTATGCGTGCAGATCTCATTTTCAAGAAAGTTAAATATTAGGAGTTGCTGTCATGTACAACAGAGTTGAAAGGTTGCTAGGATGAGATATTATGATTTTTTTAACTACAAATAGTTTTAAAATTGGAAATGTGTTTTGTATTTTTGAAACATGGTTGAGACATTAAATTGCTGAAAGTATTTTTTTTCCTGTGTTGTAAACTATTCATTATAGATGAACCTATTACTTCCCTTCTCAAAGATAAATGTGTAAATATGTCTTGTTTTAATCAAAATTATTTCATCCCCCCCCTCTTTAAAACCCACAATCTTTGAGTGGAATGGCACCTTCAGAAGTGTACTATCGATACCATCAAATGCCTTTTTCTGTCATTCTGGAGTATTCATGCTGCTTATCTGAAAACATGTATGTTTGAATACGATGCACAGATCACATTGTTCTATATGTTTTCATTTACTCCTGAAATGAAAAAAAAAAGATTTCCCAGAGCACACAGAAACAAAATAGGTCAGGAGGTATGGGGGTAATGGATGTGGGAGGATGTTTGTTGTAATGCATTTTTAATTTCAAAACAATATTTTTGCAAAGCCTATGTGAGTTTCTGATAGGGTTGCCAGAAACACATTAAGGAAACGGTAGTCGTTCATAGAAAAAAAAAACCATGTGGTAGGGCATGTACTTTGTATGAAAACAATCCTAGATTCAACTATTGGGAGAACCAGAGAGTGCTGAAAAAAATCTATCTAAAGGAGAGAAGATAGCAATGAAAGCAAACAATGCTGGGTTAAAGGAACAAACGTCTGACTTAGCGAAAGGCAATTCCTGTATTTTTAAGTACAGTTATTTCAGGTTCTAAAGACAATATTTCTAGATAAATCATATATTTCTTTATCACAGGAATAATGATGCTAATCCACTTCACTGGAAGATTTAGAAAGTTACTGCTCTTCAGTTAAAACTCTCCAGTAACATACCAGAGTACTGCTCTCAGGCCAATATATTATCATGTTTGGATTATATCATTTTCCACAAACAATTCATTGGCCTATGAATATAATTCACTCCTCCATTTGACACCACTACACAATCTTGTAAGAAATAATAAATATTAAGATTTTTTTTCTGATAAAAACCTCATGATGTAGCATCAGAAAAAAGCAGTAGAAATTATTTGACAGCATAAATAAGATTTATAATCAAACTAAGAAGCAAATTAGCAAAAAAAATCCTGCAAATATTCTGACCAATTGGTACATTTGAATGGACCACAATAATCACTTTGAGTCATAATCAGCACTGGACTTTTCTTTAAGAAACTGGAAAATTTCCCTCCTGTGCCATTAAATTTGACTGGAATTTGCAATTGATTTCTATAAAAGAATGACTGCCTTTCCAAGGAATTGACAGGCATTATTTGCAATTATATCAAACATGTAACCCAATATTCCCTTTTATAGAATAGTAGTTTTATATTCTAGCTTCCACTTTCTATGGTGCCTTATCCAAACAATTAATCTGAGAACAAAACAAAATTCCTTTTGCACTTGAAATTTTTGCTCACCAAAATGCCAGGTAGGATCAGAATAAACACTGGTCCCACGTCTTCACCCACAGATATTGCAGAAATCTTGGGCTGTCTTAACTTATAACCTAAGCATACATTCAAACAACAGCAGATATGTCCTTGTCATTAAGAATCTTTTAAAGAAATTGTGCCAAACATTTCTGGGATTCAAACCCCTTTGAAAATTGCTTTCTTCCCCATGAGTGTTGGCTAGCAAGTTGATTCTTCACCTTGTCTCAGAATCAGATATATTTCTTGCTGCAACTCATACAGCAAGCCAAATCTAGATCTTTACTTATACTCAGCCTGAGCTCATACTGACCCAGTTAATAAAAAATTAAGTGATATTTCTCAATCAGCAGTGTTTCCATACATGGTTAGAATCTTGCCAAACATGTTTCGAAATCTTGCTGAAGGCATCTGGAAAGCATTGGTCATGTACTTGTATATACATTCATGATACCACCAAGTAGTTCTCCTTGGTAAGCTCATGCTTTTTAAAAAAATAAAAAGATAAGTGGCCAACAGTTCTTGGCATCTGATCACTTAATTCTACTTGTCCCTGGCTTAATTGACAACACCAAAAAGTGGCGATTGCTACTGCAAAATTCTGTTGAGATGTAATAGAATAGGCTAGACTAGAACAGAATAGCTTTATTGTCATTGTGCTATTGCACAAGAAAATTAAATGCATACCTCACAAAACAGCGCACCCATGCTGCTTCTCTTTTCATATGATCAATTGCATTTCTATTTTCTTCTTTTCTACTTTGACCAACTGAATATGTGCAGAATGTGCCACTAATTTTTTGCCTTCCTTATTTCTGTGGCTTCTTCAAAACTCTAGATTTCTGGAAACATATTGAAATCAATTTTGAACACTTCCAATAAATTATCCACTTTAAGCAACAATGCATCTAGAAAAAAGATATCTGATAAAGAGTCTCCTAAAATGTTTCCTTTCCAAGTATCTTATACATTAATGAAATGATAAATGGCTTTGATTCAACATTGCCTTTGATTTTTTCTTTCTTTCAGAGCATTAGGTATTTCCTTGATTAGGCATGCCTTCTAACAAAAGCAGATGTAGTTTTAGAGTGGGATGCTGGCCTACTGTTTGCAAAAATGAAAACCCATGTGGAGGGAGGGTGATATGGTTTAATTTCACTTCCCTACCTCAAAAGATTTCTAGCATTTGAAAACAGAGATAAGCATAGCTCCCAAACACAAATCCCTTAGTTTCATTGTGGGTAAAGTATATATTCTGAATGTATATTCTGTTTGCCAATTTTATTTTTATGTTTGGAAGCTGCCCTGAGTCCTTTGGGGGAGAGAGGGTGGGTTAAAATATATTATTATTATTATTATTATTATTATTATTATTATTATTATTATTATTATTCTCACACAAACTGCTTCACAATGGAGCATAAATATTCCAATCTGAAGGTGGCAGCCAGCACAACTCATGTGCAATGCTAGGTCTCCTTCATGTGTAGAGCTGAACCAAAATTTTTATCAGCTTTTCTTTTACCAGCAAAGTTCTTAACAGCCATCAATATGACTTTGATTTATGGTAACTTTATGAATGAGAAGCCTCCAAATCACCATGTAAGATGCCTCTATGAGTCCTCTCAGGGAGAGAGGGTGGGTTAAAAATAAAATTTATTATTATTATTTTGACTCAGGGCCACGGCTTCCTGAATTGAGTGTATCCATCTGGAGTGTAGTCTTCCTCTTTTCCTAATCCCTTGTACCTTACCAGTGAGTCTTGACTTCTTATGATTTGTCTAAAATACTAGTCTCAGTTTAGTCATCTTGCTCTAGGACCCAATTATTTGTCCTTCCAGCCATCTTCTCAAGCACCATATTTCAAAGGAGTTTATTTTCTTCCTATTAACTTTCTTCACTCTTCCCTTAGAAAGTGGAAATATGATAGCATGGACAATTCTAATTTAAGATATTTTAAAACTTCATGATCTGGTCTAATTCTTGCATAGTTGCCTTGCCAAATCTTGGTCTTCTGATTTCTTGACTGCAATCTCCATTCTGATTTATGAATAAGTATGAAAAACTTAATCTATTTCAGTGTCTTCATCATCTACTTTAAAGTTATGAAAATAATCTATGATCATTATTATTATTTTTAATTCAACTGTGCAGATTTACATGTTGCACTTCCTTCAGTAACCATTCCAAGTCTTTGCTATTTTCTGCTAGTAGTATGCTATCATCTCTATAGCTTAAATTTTGATCCTCCTTCCTCCAATTTTCATGCCTTTTTCCTATGAGTCTAATATTTGGTTATGTGTATTTTCCACACACAGGTAAAACAGACAAGACTATAAAACACAGCCTTGCCTAACCCTTTGCCAGTTTGAAACTATTCACTTTTTCCGTATCCTGGCCTAACAGTAGCTTCTTGTCCTGAATATTGATTATGCATCAAGCCTGGGGGGAAACCTAGAAAAATTTGGTTAAAAAATTGGTTTTATTGCCATTGGGGGAGGATTCCATTTTTTGTCCCCTCCCCCCCCCCCCCCCAATTTTTCCATCTTTAATCAGGACTATCAAGTTGTGTGACACTTTGATATGAGTTATACTATCAAAMGTTTTTCTATAATTTCTAAAGTACAAGCTGATTTTCTTCTGAAATTCTTTGACGTGCTCTATTATACAATGTATGGTTGTAATATGATCCTTTGTGCCTCTTCCTTTTCTGAACCCAGTTTGGACACCTTGCATTTTTCACCCCATATATGGTAAAATCTTTGTTGTAGAATTTTGACCATCCCTTTGCATGCATGGAAAATTAATGCAATGGTCTTGTGGTTACTGCAATTCTTGGTGTCTCTTTTGTTCCCAATGTATTTTTCAATGTTTATTGAACATTTCCAATATGTGGGATATTGATTTGTTTTCCATATTTCTTGAAAAATTTAAGGTAGAACTAAAGTAGATTCTGTTTCTGTAGACTGAAACAGCTGTATTAGTACGGCTTCTATTCCTGATTTATTTCTCCCAAGTGATCTAGGTATAACTCCATTTCACTTTCTAACACTGTAGGTTCATCCTCAAACTGTTCATCATCAAATTAATCTGTCATCTTTTTATTTTGTTTACTTAGTTCTTCAGTTTATTGTTTTCATCAACTTTTTATTTCTACTTGTCATGTGATGTGTTTTCTTGCTGGTTGTACAACATCATCACTATTGATTTAAATTCCCCTTGATTTCTCAAATCTTGTGGGAGGAGTATTCTCTTCTTCCTTTTTTGTTGCCATATTCAATTTTGCAAAATTCAACCCTCCTATAATTCCAGGCCAAAATTTCCTAGAATCTTTGATTCTGCTCTTT